TTGATGTGTGTATGGATTGGGATAACAGTTGTATGAGCCCCTAATAAAATGTTAAAAAAAAAAAAAAGAAATATAATCTCAAAAAAAGCGGCAAAAATATACAGCAATTCTATTTCTATAAGGCTAAAAAACAGGAAAAATATTATATCTTCTTAAGTGAGGAATACATATGTAGTAAAACTGTAATATAGTAAAATAATGATTCTCATAAAAGTATGAAAGCAGTTGCCTCGGTGAACAGGAAGGAGAGACCATTCAGTTGCTGACCAAACCCATCTCTAGGGCATTTTGAAGTTGTGGTATAAACACAATCATAAAACATACCATTTTAAAGTCTACAATTCAGTAGTAGTTAGTATATTCACAATCATTACCATTATCTAGCTACAAAAGCTCAGGGTCAGTTGTGTGGTAAACTGAGAGACTGGATGAGAATGTAATACAGCTAAATCTACTGTGTTCATAATTTCATGTCGGGAAAGCCAACTCCAGTGGGGGAAGGCCCTCACGGTTATGAGATATAAATAAATCTTAATACACATATACAGTACATTCTCATGACTGAACACAAATCCCATAAAGAAGTTGCCATAAAAGAGCTACCATAAAAGATGTATCATTCCTGAGTGTGGCTATTCACTGTGCCTGTGTTATCTGTAGATAAGAGCAATCAGATTCTATTGCCTGTCCCACCCTAATGTGCAGCAGACCCTCCTCCAACATTTCTTTCTGATACTGATCATAGATAGTTCCTCTGGGAGGGCTCAGAGACATCCTAGGTCTAGACACTGACTCACTTCATGGCCTGTTCATCATGCTACTGGTTTCTATTACCCATTCACTATGTTATGTGTTCACTATATTATATGTATGCCTTTGGAACGATTTGTAAGCCCCATGATTATACATGCCCATTGGAAAACATATTCTCTCTCTTGGTCCTGACATAGGGACAAGGAGGCCCTGTGCCCTGCTACCTGTCTATATTATTATTCCATTTCACAACAGTTTGACTGTTGGCAGCCAGTATCCTGACAATTTAGACAAGGAATTCTGAGAGCCTGGGTATTTCAAGGCACGGCCTATAATGGAAAGGTTCATACTCCATCGACCCTACATAATCTTTGCCTGATGGAAAAGGAAAGTAAGAGGAGGGCCAAAGCAAGGGTCCCTAAAGCACAAGGGCAGGACAAAGGCCCTTTCTGCTAGCACCAAGAGTCCCTTAAACCTGGACAGCATTGTATTTCTTACACTGGGCACTAATAACATGAGTATTCACTTTGTAACAATTTGCTAAACTGTCGAGGTAAGGTCTTCGTACTTCCCGCACCCTGCTCTACCCCAATTAACAGAACAAACAGACATCACATGCCTGCTGAGATATACACCAATGAGTTCACAGTACCACTCTTGAAATACTCATGCAAGGGCTGTATTGTAAAAATTGAGAATATATATGTCAAACAGGTTGGATAATGGAATAACTGAAAAATCCAATAAAGAAACTTGCTGCCACCCAGTATGGCTAACTCACAACACCCCTAAATGACAGGGTAGAACTACCCCCTGTAAATTTCCAAGGCTGTCGGCGTAGAGTAGGGAACCAGTGGAGAGGTCTTAGGGGCCAGCCCAAATCCCAACTAGTATGTGGACACCTACCCCCCCCACACCCAAGAAGAATTAATTTCAAAGGACGGCATTGAATCTGCAGCTCTGGGAGAGGGACATATCTGATCTGAGCACACAGGAGCAGATGAAGGGGGAAGAGGAGAAAGTGGAGCACATCCTGGCCCACCAGACCTTGAGGACAATGTTCCTGATTAGAGCAGCCAGTCCACAGAGAGGGCCACATGGCCGACCCCACTATGAGACATGACATCCCTCAATGACCCATAACCCTACAGGGGACAACACCGGAGAGACTGTGGGAATTGCGCCCAATCTGACCCTGCCACACCGAGGCAAAACACTAAGGGGGTGCAACAGAACAGCAAGGGAACTGAGCGGCGAGGTCCCCAGTGAATGCTGAAGGAGGACTTTGGGGCCAGGGC